CCATGATATGAAGTCTCCCTTTGTCTTTCATTCGGTTACTATTGAGGACTCAGCACAGTCTTAAATAAATTCCAGTCTTTCTCGAAGCATTCAGCTGACCAAAGTAAACGCTTCTTCTCCAACCACAAGATACCTAGAATAATGAACATTTAGAGAACGTTTGCTCTGCACCACGAGCTTTCATGCATGATCTCGTCTGACCCTCAGAGGAGCCTTGGAGGTAGGTCTTGTTATCACTTCCCATTTTATAGATGAGAAGCTGAAGCTCACCACCACGTGGCAGAATAGAAACACAAAGCTGGGTGGATTGATGTCGAGTCCCCGTTTGTAACTGTGGCTCCATCCCACACTCCCACACTAGTTTTGTATATTTTTATATATAGATACCACAAATATGTCATACGGAGAGTGTGGAGAGAGAAAGAAGGAAGAGAGACAAAGAGATCTGTAATGAGCAGTTTGGTTTTCTGGAATGGGCCAAGTCATTTGAAGACCTTCAGGAGATAATAGTTGTTATAGTAGGAACTCCATGAGGTCAAAATTCCGTAAAAGCATTCTTGATTAATCTTCATTTGCTTGTTTCTTCCTTCAAGCCCACTCCAGCAATTGCATCCAATCTCTCCTCCAGCTACAGTAACTCAGAGACACAGTCTTTCTGGAATGTTCCCAAAGCTTCCATTATCGTACTAAGAGTGCATCAGGGGAAGGAACGACCTCTTAATATGCTATCTTAATTTCAGGAACTGGCTTGATTTTAATTATTTTTCAATATATTATGGCTGCTCTGACGTCCCTCTTCTTTCCTTGTGTGTCTTCTTTGCCTCCTCTCTGGACTTTACTCAGTGGCCCCAGCTGTGCTTCAGCAGAGCAGCGTGTCCCTGAACAGCGGTGGCTCAAGCTAACCTTAGACAAATGGTGCTCATCTGTGGCAGTCAGGTGGTGTTTCAAGCTCTATACGGTTCCACAAGTTGTTGCTAAAAACGCATAGCATTCCATTAACACAACGGATGTGTTCCTCAATAGTGTGTGTAACACAAATGTCTTATAAATTGAAGTCGAGATTTAAATCATTAATGAATCTAGTGGCGAACACTTGTCCTGTTAAGGACTTGTCCCAGCTGACTTGGCAGCCTGACTCTCACCAGAGCTAATGAGAAGGGAAAAAAAATCAACACAGTTCCAGCCAGGTCTTTTGCACCAGTAAAATTTGAAATTCATCCACCTGTGTGCAGGATTCAGGCGGAGTAGAGAGACCCAACACACCTCTTTCCGAGGAGAATGCATGTTGTCTTTCAGTCCACCTTCCAGTCCAGTTCAAGGTGCAAACACTGAATGATTTTGGAAAATTGTTTTCTCTTCAAAGTCAGAGACTCTGGACTGAGTTGTCGGCCCTGCCAATAACCGGACAGATTAAAGTTTAGTTGGCCAAATTTGGGACATTTTTCTTTACAAGGTCCACAGCTCAAATCCTCTACAGTCTATGATTTCACGGGTTCCCAGAATAACTTTCAAAATAAAAGGTGATTAATAGTTCTGTTACTACCATTTATGTAATACTTTACAGTTTAAAATACATTTTTTCACATACTGTCATATTTGAAAGCTGAATCCTAGCAGGTAGATGTTACCTTATTTATTTTATAAATGGGCGGATGAAGGCTCAAAGAGCTTAAATCACTTATCAATGTCACAACCCCTCTTAAAGGGAGACAAGAGGGCTCTTAGGAGGTCTGAGCTAAGGCCTCCATTTTCAGAAATTAGAAAGAATGGTAATGTAATTTATGCTCTTATATAATGTGAATTTTCTAAAGTAGCTCTGTTCCAGATCTTAATGAGTAACTTGATTATTTGGATGCCCTGGGGTTTTAAATGAAGAGCAAAAATTTAAAGACACTATAGATAGGTAAATGAAATATCCCTTTATTCATTTTTTAAACATTCTCCTAAGTAACTCTGGAAACTAAGACTCCCTTAGAAGTGAAATATTAAATAATAACAAGATTTCTCTGAATGATAATAAATATCTCAATATATGAACTCTGTCCCTTGGAGAAAACAATGTGCTCTGTGAAATGCAGACATTTTTATTTAATTGGCAATTTAAAAATCCAGTGGTAGAAGTGGTGGCTCATGACACTCAGAAGAGAACTTAAACTTACACTCACAACTGTGTTCTGCTTTTCTTGTCCCACTCGTCTTTTCAGGTTTGGGGGAGGGGGGAAGTAATTAGGTTTATTTTTTTATGTATTTAATGGAGGTCCTGGGGATTGAACCCACGACCTCGTGCATGCCAAGCACATCCCCACCTTTCCCCCCATACACTTATTCTTACCCATCCCTGTGAGAATCTGTACAACCAGCGAGGGATTCTTTTTAAATACCAAGTTCTTCCTTATCTTAAATATTTGTCACTTATTTTAGCAAGATTATATTAAAGTCCTATCTGGTGATTCAGTTTACAAACTGAGAAATTAAATACAGGACATACAGCCTTCTGCTACTTTTGAATTTTCATATGTGGAACTAATTTACTCTTACTGATAATTAAGTTATGTTTACTCAGTATCATCTGAGTTTAGTACAGTTTATTTTGATGCCACAAACTCTCAGTCTCTGTTTTAGTTATTGAGCCACTGAACCATGGGTGTTCAGTGTCATCGTGATTGACCTCTGCTAAATCACTCATTTCCAATGTAACCAAATATCTCCCACCCAGCTATTCTGCATCCTTAAATCTTGGGCGTCAGTTCTTTGATATTGAAATAAAATTGAGCACCAACCAGTCTCATGTTCCAAGGCAATTCCAGTGCCTCCTGTCTAAAGTAGTTTGATGAAAATACAGAAAAATTATATTCCTCCATGTCTCCTCATTCAGGTCCCTGCCACCACTGAGATAGTAGGTTTCATAGGGTTTCTAGAAATTCGTGTTCACCTGAAGCCTCAGAATGTGCCCTCATTTGGAAGCAGGGTCTTTGCAGGTGTAGTTAGGCTAAGACGAGGTCATGTTGGATTCAGGTGGGCCCTGTTGCTAATGATTGGCATCTTAATAAGAGGAGGTGGCACAGAGAAATGGTGAAGGCCATGTGGAGACAGAGCAGAGGTCAGAGTGATGCAGTTACAAGTTGAAGGACACTAAGGCTTGCCAGGAGCCACTAGAAGCTAGGAAAAGGT